CATACTTAACATTTCCCTGTCTGTGCAGTGATAAGAATGTTCCTCTATTCTTCTAAATAAAACAGCAGAAAAGCAAAGATTTAACTGGACCGTTGGGGATGCATACTGGAGCCTACTGCTACTACTGCTGGAGGGGGGGGTGTTTGATGAGCCAATGTACTGGGTAGACAGGCACCAATCACTGTCCTCAATGGCCATTAAAAAATAGATTGATTGAACACATTTAAAATACCAATACATGTACATAATTGAAAGGACTTGCTCTGCAAGAAAATGTCCACTAGCATTGCTTAATTAACTCTACAAGGAATACAGAACGTAGGAATACAGAAGGTAGGAATACAGAACGTAGGAATACAGAAGGTAGGAATACAGAAGGTAGGAATACAGAACGTAGGAATACAGAACGTAGGAATACAGAAGGTAGGAATACAGAACGTAGGAATACAGAAGGTAGGAATCCAGAAGTAGGAATACAGAACGTAGGAATACAGAAGGTAGGAATACAGAACGTAGGAATACAGAACGTAGGAATACAGAAGGTAGGAATACAGAACGTAGGAATACAGAAGGTAGGAATACAGAATGTAGGAATACAGAAGGTAGGAATACAGAAGGTAGGAATACAGAAGGTAGGAATACAGAACGTAGGAATACGAACGTAGGAATAAGAAGGTAGGAATACAGAACGTAGGAATAGAGGAAGGTAGGAATACAGAAGTAGGAATACAGAAGGTAGGAATACAGACGGTAGGAATACAGAACGTAGGAATACAGAAGGTAGGATACAGAACGTAGGAATACAGAACGTAGGATACAGAAGGTAGGAATACAGAAGGTAGGAATACAGAACGTAGGAATACAGAAGGTAGGAATAAGAACGTAGGATACAGAACTAGGAATACAGAAGGTAGGAATACAGAAGGTAGGAATACAGAACGTAGGAATACAGAACGTAGGAATACAGAAGGTAGGAATACAGAACGTAGGAATACAGAAGGTAGGAATACAGAACGTAGGAATACAGAACGTAGGAATACAGAAGGTAGGAATACAGAACGTAGGAATACAGAAGATAGGAATACAGAAGGTAGGAATACAGAAGGTAGGAATACAGAACGTAGGAATACAGAAGGTAGGAATACAGAACGTAGGAATACAGAAGGTAGGAATACAGAACGTAGGAATACAGAAGGTAGGAATACAGAACGTAGGAATACAGAACGTAGGAATACAGAAGGTAGGAATACAGAACGTAGGAATACAGAACGTAGGAATACAGAACGTAGGAATACAGAAGGTAGGAATACAGAACGTAGGAATACAGAAAGTAGGAATACAGAAGGTAGGAATACAGAACGTAGGAATACAGAAGGTAGGAATACAGAACGTAGGAATACAGAAGGTAGGAATACAGAAGGTAGGAATACAGAACGTAGGAATACAGAAGGTAGGAATACAGAAGGTAGGAATACAGAAGGTAGGAATACAGAAGGTAGGAATACAGAAGGTAGGAATACAGAACGTAGGAATACAGAAGGTAGGAATACAGAACGTAGGAATACAGAAGGTAGGAATACAGAAGGTAGGAATACAGACGGTAGGAATACAGACGTAGGAATACAGAAGTAGGAATACAGAACGTAGAATACAGAAGGTAGGAATACAGAACGTAGGAATACAGAAGGTAGGAATACAGAACGTAGGAATACAGAACGTAGGAATACAGAAAGTAGGAATACAGAACGTAGGAATACAGAACGTAGGAATACAGAAGGTAGGAATACAGAACGTAGGAATACAGAAGGTAGGAATACAGAACGTAGGAATACAGAACGTAGGAATACAGAAGGTAGGAATACAGAACGTAGGAATACAGAACGTAGGAATACAGAACGTAGGAATACAGAAGGTAGGAATACAGAACGTAGGAATACAGAAAGTAGGAATACAGAAGGTAGGAATACAGAATGTAGGAATACAGAAGGTAGGAATACAGAACGTAGGAATACAGAAGGTAGGAATACAGAAGGTAGGAATACAGAAGGTAGGAATACAGAACGTAGGAATACAGAAGGTAGGAATACAGAAGGTAGGAATACAGAAGGTAGGAATACAGAACGTAGGAATACAGAAGGTAGGAATACAGAACGTAGCAATACAGAACGTAGGAATACAGAAGGTAGGAATACAGAACGTAGGAATACAGAACGTAGGAATACAGAACGTAGGAATACAGAACGTAGGAATACAGAAGGTAGGAATACAGAACGTAGGAATACAGAACGTAGGAATACAGAACATACCAATATAATCAGAGTGGTAGCTGGAACTGCAAGAGGATGGGGAAAGATGAAAGGAGTTTGACTTGGTACCTGGGACAGTAGAGTTTAACGAGAGCGTGAGTAGCCCTGAGCCTTCCAAGTTTCATTTATGCATCCCCAAAGTCATCCATGAAAAGCTGGTCTGAAATATTTATGCTGCGCTGAGGTTGGAAAAATGTACTACTTTGAATGGATGGGATATCAATAACTCTGGCACAAACACCCCAAAATGCTGCGCCACGGTGCATGCAACTTGACTACGTACTAGGCCTACAGAGCTACAAATCTAAAAGTATTTGGTTTTAAATATACGTAAGTATCAAAAGTAAATGTAATTACTAAAATATACTTAAGTATCAAAAGTCAAAGTAAAAGTATAAATCATTTCACATTCCTTATATTAAGCAAACCAGATGGCACAATTTTATATTTTTTATTTTATATACAGATAGCCAGGGGCACACTGCAACACTCAGACGTAATTTACAAACGAAGCATGTATGTTTAGTGAGTCCGCCAGATCAGAGGCAGTAGGGATGACCAGGGATAATCTCTTGATAAGTGAGTGAATCGGACCATTTTCATGTCCTGCTAAGCATTGAAAATGTAATGAGTACTTTTGGGTGTCAGGGAAAATGTATGTAGTAAAAAGTACATTATTTTCTTTAAGAAGGTAGTGAAGTAAAAGTTGTCCAAAATATAAATAGTAAAGTAAACTACAGATACCCCCAAAAACTACTTAAGTAGTACTTTAAAGTATTTTTACTTAAGTACTTTACACCACTGGATGGAAACCAAGTAAGTAAGGATGTTAAAAGTAAGGATGTTAAAGGTATGTTAAAAGAAAGTCTATAGGCACAATGGAGGAATATTACACATGGAAGGGCGGCAGGTAGCTTAGTGGTTAAGAGCGTTGTGCCAGTAACCGAAAGGTTGCTGGTTCTAATCCCCGAGCCGACTAGGTGAAAAATATGTCGATGTGCCCTTGAGCTGTCACGATCGTCTGACGAATGAGTAGACCAAAGCGCAGCGCGTTGAGCGAACATGACTTTATTTAATTAAAGCCTTGAACAAACAACAAATAAAGAACGATACGTGAAGTCCTCTGTAACACTGACAGAACATGGAACAAAAACCCACAAACACAAGGTGAACACAGACAGTTTAAATATGGCTCCCAATCAGAGATAACGAGCCGACAGCTGACACTCGTTACCTCCGATTGGGAGTCATTTGACCAAACAAGGAAAACACAACCAATGACAACCCAACCAAACAAAACCCAACCAAAACGAACACACCCTGGCTCAAAATACAAAGTCCCGGAGCCAGAGCGTGACATGAGCAAGGCACTTAACCCTAATTGCTCCTGTAAGTCGCTCTGGATAAGAGCGTCTGCTAAATGACAAAAAAATAAAGATATATAAATATTGAGGAAATGTTTGAATTGCCATCTATCACATGCCTACCGGTAATTGAACAACAAAAAAATAGATGACAGTTCATTTGGGTTTACTCAGGCTGAATGGCACACGTGCTTCCTGCGCTGAATTACCTTCTGCTCCACGGGGTGAATTATTTGTTCATATGAGGGGCTAATTATCTAAATCTCCTTGACTGCTGTTCATCAGTACTTACAGTGTATGATGTAAACTCCCACCTGTAAAGCACAAAATGTTAATTTCAACACCGACAGAAGGTAATTTTACGCACGACAAGATTGGATGTAAACCTGCATTAGGAAAAATATCAATAGTTGATGTAATCCTCTGTTGAAGGGTCATTGACTACAATATTGTTAGTGGTTTTAGTCTACAATTTAATTGTATGCTTATGATAAACCCCAATGACAAAACTGTAGTCAGTACTCCCTTTGACACCAATAATATATCATTATTAATCCACAGGTTGAGTTAGAGATGTGCTGAACAGGCCACAAGGTCAAATGATGTTTGGCAACTTTTTTTTTCAAAAAGCAATGTTTCTACTTTTTTTATTTGAACAAGAAAAATAAATGCATCACTTTTTTCGTGGCTCACCCTGCTGAGAAAGCTCACATCAATCAATGAGAAGCACACAGCATTGAAATACTCTCTGCATTGAGTGTCTGAATTCAAGGTTAAGACTGTCCCAACAAGACTTTGTGAGCTCATACTGCAAGATGACAGAAAGTGGAAGATATATGTCAGAGAACGATGTAGTGTAGTAAACCTAATCAATAAAAAAATGCTTATCAAGAACAAGCAAATGCAGCTCAGTCAGTTTGTTGAACGAAATGGATTCAACGAAGCACTGCCCTTTGCAGAGCTACAAAATGGATATTTCGTAATAAGAAATAAAGTTGAGGAGTTCACGCAGAGAAGCACAATATCTGGACGGAGCATACAGCACATGCACTGCCCATAAAACATAACTGATCCAACCCTGCTGACAGAGAAAGAGGCAATTCACACAGGATCCTTCACACAGGCTCCTTCACACAGGATCCTTCACACAGGCTTCTTCACACAGGATCCTTCACACAGGATCCTTCACACAGGATCCTTCACACAGGATCCTTCACACAGGCTTCTTCACACAGGATCCTTCACACAGGCTCCTTCCACTCGCCCCATAGTTTTACGGCCATGCTTGCCCTCCATCAAAACAGGGAGAGAGATTCTCACTGACACAGAATTACGGGTGAGGCGCTACAGCCTGTCCCCTCTGCCCCATCCCTCCACACTCACATTCAATCATCTCGCTCATAAGGTGGGCCAAAGGGGCCCTCTGCGCCACGGCTACGGCTATCTGCCCATGTCCATCAAAACCTGCAACAATAAAAGCTGTGCTGGGGTAAACAGAAAGCTGTGCTGGGGTAAACAGAAAGCTGTGGTGGGGTAAACAGAAAGCTGTGGTGGAGTAAACAGAAAGCTGTGGTGGTGTAAACAGAAAGCTGTGGTGGGGTAAACAGAAAGCTGTGCTGGGGTAAACAGAAAGCTGTGCTGGGGTAAACAGAAAGCTGTGCTGGGGTAAACAGAAAGCTGTGGTGGGGTAAACAGAAAGCTGTGGTGGAGTAAACAGAAAGCTGTGGTGGGGTAAACAGAAAGCTGTGCTGGGGTAAACAGAAAGCTGTGCTGGGGTAAACAGAAAGCTGTGGTGGGGTAAACAGAAAGCTGTGGTGGGGTAAACAGAAAGCTGTGGTGGGGTAAACAGAAAGCTGTGGTGGGGTAAACAGAAAGCTGTGGTGGGGTAAACAGAAAGCTGTGGTGGGGTAAACAGAAAGCTGTGGTGGAGTAAACAGAAAGCTGTGCTGGGGTAAACAGAAAGCTGTGGTGGGGTAAACAGAAAGCTGTGGTGGGGTAAACAGAAAGCTGTGGTGGGGTAAACAGAAAGCTGTGGTGGGGTAAACAGAAAGCTGTGGTGGGGTAAACAGAAAGCTGTGCTGGGGTAAACAGAAAGCTGTGGTGGGGTAAACAGAAAGCTGTGCTGGGGTAAACAGAAAGCTGTGCTGGGGTAAACAGAAAGCTGTGGTGGGGTAAACAGAAAGCTGTGGTGGGGTAAACAGAAAGCTGTGCTGGGGGTAAACAGAAAGCTGTGCTGGGGTAAACAGAAAGCTGTGCTGGGGTAAACAGAAAGCTGTGGTGGGGTAAACAGAAAGCTGTGGTGGGGTAAACCGAAAGCTGTGGTGGGGTAAACAGAAAGCTGTGGTGGGGTAAACAGAAAGCTGTGCTGGGGTAAACAGAAAGCTGTGCTGGGGTAAACAGAAAGCTGTGCTGGGGTAAACAGAAAGCTGCTGAGAATTTCTGTCTGATGAGATATTTTTTTAATCATTGATTTATCAGTGGGTGCTGTAGCATCCCTACTTCCCACGGCTATGCCTCTGTCTCTCCCTCCCCCTATACCCTCTACACCCCCTAAACATCTCTACATGTCCCCCTCTTTCTCTTCCTCCCCCCTACACCCGCCTAAACATCTCTACACGTCCCCCTCTGTCTTTTCCTCCCCCTCACCCCCTGAACATCTCTACACATCCCTCTCTTTCTCTTCCTCTTCCCTACACCCCCTAAACATCTCTACACGTCCCCCTCTGTCTTTTCCTCCCCCTCACCCCCTAAACATCTCTACACATCCCTCTCTTTCTCTTCCTCCCTCCTACACCCCCTAAACATCTCTACACATCCCCTACCTGTATTTGCCTCTCCCCTACACCCCCTAAACATCTCTACACATCCCCTACCTGCCTTTTCCTCCCCCTACACCCCCTAAACATCTCTATACATCCCTTTCTGTCTCTTCCTCTCCCCTACACACCCGCACATTGTAATATTGTAATCTTGTATTATTGTAATATTATACATTTTATACTGTACATTTGTAGTAATGGAGCAATGTACATATGTATTATGCACAATGTCTAGTTTGATATACTGTATTATTTATGATGTAGGCTATTGTTTAATATGATGTACTGTTTTATTTATGATGTAGGCTATTGTTTAATATGATGTACTGTTTTATTTATGATGTAGGCTATTGTTTTAATATGATGTACTGTTTTATTCCTGTTTTACCCAAGGAAGAGTAGCTAATGGGGCCCCTAATTAAATTCTAAATGTATACTTAAAATAAACCCCCTAAACATCTCTACACGTCCCTCTCTGTCTTCCTACCCCTACACCCCTTAAACACACTTTTTAAAGCTGTTCCAATTAGGTACATAGTGAGTTAGGTTTGTCATTACTAAATAAAGCCCTGGCCAGTGAGCTGTGACGGTTTACAACATAGAAGGTATGCAGCGATAGACAGTAACATTCCAGAATTGCAGCATTTCATTTGTCTGCTTTCAGTCAATCCACAGAGCAAAGTGTGTACTGGTTCTCATTGTGTATACGGTCATGCAAAAAGTACAAAATAATTGCTTGTCTCTCTGTCCCATCACATCGTATTGAATCTCTAGATCTAGATATGCCTACCGTCTGTACACACACACCTCTCACTCACACTAACACACACACACACACCTCTCACTCACACTCACTCACACACACACTCACACACTAACACACACACACACACACCTCTCACTCACACTCACTCACACACACACTCACACACACACAAACCTCTCACTCACACTCACACACACACACATACACCTCTCACTCACACTCACTCACACACACACTCACACACTAACACACACACACACCTCTCACTCACACTCACACACACTCACACACACATACACCTCTCACTCACACACACACACTCACACACACACACACACACACATACACCTCTCACTCACACACACACACACACACACTCACACACACACAAACCTCTCACTCACACTCACACACACACATACACCTCTCACTCACACACACACACACACACACACACACACACACACACACACACACACACGCACACACCTCTCACACATTGGTATTAACCTGACACAATGTCCCCGCTCTTCTTTCACTGACAGCCAGTAGCACTTACAGTGGGGGGAACAAGTATTTGATACCTACTTACAAAGCATGTAGAGGTCTGTAATTTTTATCATAGGTACACTTCAACTGTGAGAGACGGAATCTAAAACAAAAATCCAGAAAATCACATTGTATGATTTTTAAGTAATTAATTTGCATTTTATTGCATGACATAAGTATTTGATCACCTACCAATCGGTAAGAATTCCGTCTCTCACAGACCTGTTCGTTTTTCTTTAAGAAGCCCTCCTGTTCTCCACTCATTACCTGTATTAACTGCACCTGTTTGAACTCATTACCTGTATAAAAGACACCTGTCCACACACTCAATCAAACAGACTCCAACCTCTCCACAATGGCCAAGACCAGAGAGCTGTGTAAGGACTTCAGGGATAAAATTGTAGACCTGCACAAGGCTGGGATGGGCTACAGGACAATAGGCAAGCAGCTTGTTGAGAAGGCAACAACTGTTGGCGCAATTATTAGAAAATGGAAGAAGTTCAAGATGACGGTCAATCACCCTCGGTCTGGGGCTCCATGCAAGATCTCACCTCGTGGGGCATCAATGATCATGAGGAAGGTGAGAGATCAGCCCAGAACTACACGGCAGGACCTGGTCAATGACCTGAAGTGAGCTGGGACCACAGTCTAAAAGAAAACCATTAGTAACACACTACGCCGTCATGGATTAAAATCCTGCAGCGCACGCAAGGTCCCCCTGCTCAAGCCAGCGCATGTCCAGGCCTGTCTGAAGTTTGCCAATGACCATCTGGATGATCCAGAGGAGGAATGGGAGAAGGTCATGTGGTCTGATGAGACAAAAATAGAGCTTTTTGGTCTAAACTCCACTCGCCGTGTTTGGAGGAAGAAGGATGAGTACAACCCCAAGAACACCATCCCAACCGTGAAGCATGGAGGTGGAAACATCATTCTTTGGGGATGCTTTTCTGCAAAGGGGACAGGACGACTGCACCGTATTGAGGGGAGGATGGATGGGGCCATGTATCGCGAGATCTTGGCCAACAACCTCCTTCCCTCAGGAAGAGCATTGAAGATGGGTCGTGGCTGGGTCTTCCAGCATGACAACGACCCGAAACACACAGCCAGGGCAACTAAGGAGTGGCTCCGTAAGAAGCATCTCAAGGTCCTGGAGTGGCCTAGCCAGTCTCCAGACCTGAACCCAATAGAAAATCTTTGGAGGGAGCTGAAAGTCCGTATTGCCCAGCGACAGCCCCGAAACCTGAAGGATCTGGAGAAGGTCTGTATGGAGGAGTGGGCCAAAATCCCTGCTGCGGTGTGTGGCAAACCTGGTCAAGACCTACAGGAAACGTATGATCTCTGTAATTGCAAACAACGGTTTCTGTGCCAAATATTAAGTTCTGCTTTTCTGATGTATCAAATACTTATGTCATGCAATAAAATGCAAATTAATTACTTAAAAATCATACAATGTGATTTTCTGGATTTTTGTTTTAGATTCCGTCTCTCACAGTTGAAGTGTACCTATGATAAAAATTACAGACCTCTACATGCTTTGTAAGTCGGAAAACCTGCAAAATCGGCAGTGTATCAAATACTTGTTCTCCCCACTGTATGTTCATGAGCCACAGAATGCATTTGTTACTTTCACACAGGTTGACATGCACTTTGCCCTCCAACCTCACATACACACACTATTTTAATGACCCTTCATTCATCCATCTTAGCCAGCTAGGCCTGCTTTGTGGTTCACCCAGCAATAGCAACAGCAGCTAAGATGATGGATAGTTATCATGGTCTTATGCTCTCCCTATCCTGTCACTTTGAGGCATTTTATTGCAGGTATTCTCTCTATCCCAGCTAAGGGCTACTGTACTGTTGACTTCATAGTTAATAGGGTTTTGTAGAGGGTTGTGATACAACCTTATAATAACCTTATATAACCTACTGTATGTGCATGTTCCTCTTTATCTCTCTCTGTCTCTTCCTCTTTCATAAACACAATAATGCAGCAAATCTTACAGGTCTGCTCCAGCTAAAGACTACGTAGCTTACGTCATTAACAGAATCTGTTTGATCTGACACATAAATCTAGAAGCATTATGAAATGTCCTTAGAAACAAGGTTACTGCTGGAGTTTCTTCACTCAGAGACAGAGAGACACCAGAAATTAAAATGTCTTCACTCAGAGGCAGACACCAGAAGGTAACAATTTCTAGTCCCCATCCTGTGAGACCTTTTCCAGAAGTAAAGAAGAGTTTTCAGAGCACACAGCTGAAGAGGAATGAATGTATTTTGAATGCTCCGGGGGACAGTAAAGAATTGGAAATGTATGCAAATATAATTGGTAACATAAATCAACAGAGACAGGTGTGCGCTAACACATATCCCAGCCACAATGTCAAATTAATATATGATACATGAATAATTAGATTTTCAACACTGAGGCGACGTCTGCTTACTTACAGTATACGGACGGATGATAATATCGTTCACTTGCATGCATCCACCCCTCTCTCTCTCTCTCTCTCTCTCACACACACACACACACACACACACACACACACACACACACACACACACGCCTGGAGGGAAGCAAAAGTCATTCCGCTACCCAAGAATAGTAAAGCACCCTTTACTGGCTCAAACAGCCGACCACTCAGCCTGTTACCAACCCCAAAACTGTGTTTGATCAGATACAATGCTATTGTACCTTTTTTATTTTATTTTAAATTAACAACAGACTTTCAGCACGCTTATAGGAAAGGGCATTCACCATGCACGGCACTTACATAATTGACTGATGATTGGCTGAGAGAAATTAATAATAAAAAGATTGTGGGAGCTTTTGTTACACTTCAGTGTAGCTTTTTACATTATCAATCATATTATGCTGCTGGAAGAATGTATTTGTAATGGCTTTACATCCCTTGCTATATTGTGGATTGAGAGTTACCTGTCTAACAGAACACAGAGGGTGTTCTTTAATGGAAGCCCCTCCAACATAATCAAGATATAATCAGGCATTCCCCAGGGCAGCTGTCTAGGCCCCTTACTTTTTTCAATCTTTACTAATGACCTGCCGCTGGCTTTGAGTAAAGCCTGTGCGTCTTTGTACGTGGATAACTCAACACTATACACGTCAGCTACTACAGCGAGTGAAATCACTGCAACACTTAACAAAGAGCTGCAGTCAGTTTCAGAATGGGTGGCAAGAAAAAAACTAAAAGCATTGCATTTGGGACAAAGCATTCACTAAACTCTAAACCTCAACTAAATCTTGTAAGGAATAATGTGGAAATTAAGCAAGTTGAGGAGACTAAACTGCTTGGAGTAACCCTGGATTGTAAACTG